CCTCTCTCAAGGACGAGTATTATCGCCTGCCTGAAATCGGCGCCATCTACACCCCGGACGTCCTTGTGTTCCGGGAGGCCGACTCAGATGATGTTTTGAGCCCGAAGGAACGTTGGTTTGTCGATTGCATAAGCGCGGCCATGCTCAGAGGACCCGAGATAGATCTTGATGATATGGGGCGTGGATCCTACACCAATGACAAGGACCGCGAGCAGGTCATCCGCAAGATGAGGATGGTTATGCGCATTTGCTGCGACAAGGGTGTCAAGAAATTGGTGTTGGGGGCTTGGGGTTGTGGTGCATATGGGAATCCGGTTGGGGAGATTGCCAAAGCTTGGAGGAAAGTATTGATGCCTGGGACTGGGACATCTCACCCACAGAAACGAAAGGCCAAGAAAAATGAAGAGACGTGGGAGGGAATCGAAGAAATTGTATTTGCCATCAAAGAACCAGGCCTGGCGGACGCGTTTGCGGTGGCGTTTGGGGACGGGATAGTTCGCATCGATGATAATGATGAGGAAGTAGAGGAGGGTCAAAGTGATGAGGATGGCGGAAAAGAAGGAGATGGGCAAGATGAGGAAAGCAACGAGCTCTTGGCTCAGATTCGGCAGCTGGAACTGCGCGTTGAAGCAACTCATAGCCCCCAACTCAAGACCCAACTATCCTCGGTTCTTGACGGACTGAGAAGCCGGTTGAAAGATCAATAAAGTAAATGTTACAATGACTATGAATTGATACAGATTGGGAAATGAGAAACCGCCAATTGCTCCTACTCTTTGTTTTCATTCTGAACAGCCCACCCTGGAATCAATTTATTATCCGCCTCTCCCTCATCTGTATCATCCTGTCCTTTGATTACGCTCCTCGCTGCTCTGCGCCCGACAACGGGTAATTTCTTCACTTTAAGCTCCTTGGCTGACTCCGGGAGTAGTTTCGGATCCAATAATCCTACTTGCACCAACACGCTTGCCTGATCCCAGTAAACATGCTCATGATGAAGCTTGCCGGATTTGAACCCTACTATGCTCACCATGAGAATCTCGACCTTTTTGTCTGTTGCCGGAACACCAGGAAGAATCCAGGGGATCTCCTCAGTGTGTTTGAATTGGACATGCATCTCATCAACCACGCGGTCGACGCCGATTGTACGGGATAGGAGGGTGATTTTCAAAGATGACGGCTTGATGAAGAAGTCAGAGTAGAACCTGTTGAGCTCATCGGTCCCTATCCCACCTGTCAGGGTAGGGATATTCGTCGCATGGGGCATTTTCTGGACTGTGAAGGCCGACACAGTTTGTTCCGCGTTGCCTGCGAAAAACTTGCCTTCATCCATATATTAGCGACTGTAAAATCAAAGACATGGGCCGAGAACTTACTCTGTATATGCTGCTCCAGGATGCCCTCCAGGTCAGGATCAGCACCAAACGCCCGTCTTGCTGCAGCCAAGCTCCGACTCCAGGCGAGCTCAGCGCATATTCTGTTATACTCCTCCATATCGTGCTCGGCAAACCCAGACTCCGCATCGTACGTATAGCTCGGGAATGCAAGCTGAAGCTTCCCGCCCGTGCCAAGGCCTTTCTGGACCTTCTTTGTCGTCGTACGTCGCTTGCCCTGGATGCCTATCATTTGACTCTGTTTGACGACCCCAATCTCCTCCCCTACTGGTAGATGTGCAAGTGCGGCGATACTGTTTGGAAATCGACCTTTGGGATCCGGAATCGAAGTAGGGTAGTAGGCAATTAGCAAGCCGAGCTTGAATTCGGGATTATTGTCCAGGATATGATAATGCTCCAGGCAGGCCGCCGCGGCGTCGCCATAGGCTAATGATATCTATTAATCGTCGGCCCAAAATATATGGGTAGATTATTCTTACCTATGATACCGAATTTGTCACAGGGGCCCATCTTCTCCTTGCTCAAGGACTTTATCTTGTCTATGTATCCGTACTTCTTGCAGCTTTCGATGGAGAAGTATTCAACATCGAAGCCCTCGTTGCGCCAATCCTCGATCGTAGTCGGGTCGAAGTCATCAGTCTCAGCTGTGATGTATAATTTGCCAGGCGACCGCGGGAAATCGCTGGAAAGAAAATTGGGATCTCGATGATTGGGCCCATGTTCGGATAGTATCTGAACATTGCGACCTTCTGCTTCCGGTACGGCGCTTTTGATGAGATCGGGAACGTTGATATTCATCTTGTCGCTGCTCATGGGGATATGAGTGATTCTGAAATATGAGAATAGACTTGGATCCTGGAGATAATGCCAAAGCGATATTTTCCATCTATTTCAATGCGTCATGAGAAGATTATCATCTGTTGGAGCTTGGACGATCATTCGCTGATGATGATGACATCATGCTTCAATTAATTACGTTGGTGGTGGGTGGCCCATTACCAAGTTTTTAGGCCCCTCATCCCTGCTGGGACTGAACCACATTTCTTGACGCACGAGTGATGACATGGAGAATGGTTTTTATTCATCTGAATTGAATATTTGAGACTCATGTCTAGGTCTCTAAAAATTCCATTCTGTCTAGTGCAAAATATTGCGGTAGTCGTACAACAATTTGACGACGCCGCTCGCGATGGCTTCTATTTTCAGCGTGATTTTGGGACAGATGAACCGAAAATTGGTCAAGATTTCGTGCAAGAAAACGAAAATCTTACAACCGGAGAATAACCTAGGACGACAATTTGCGAGTGCTCGTTTTCCGGGGGTTCTTAGACTCAAACACCCTATCCAGCTCTTCAAGAGTACGGCCCTTGGTCTCGACAAAGAAAAAGTACACGAATGCGAACTCAAACAGGTCCCAGAAGACAAAGAACACGTAGCTAAATTTCAAGGTTAGCCATTTGGACTAGGACTAAAAAATCGTGGGAAAGTGAGCGTCGATTCTTACAACCAGTATTTGATGTTGGCCATTGCCACCGGGGCTGCAAACGTGTTGACAAAGCTGGCGCATCCAGCAGTCAATTTGTAAACCATCATACCATTTGCTCGCATATCATCTAGAAGGTTAATTTAGCCACTGTTTCCGTTTCAGGCAAGTCTCGGCATTTGAACTTACTCGCGAGCACCTCGGCGGGATATATGGGTTGCATCGGGGTGAAACTGACGGCAAAGATGACACCGAATACGAAGATGAAAGCGATGCTGGCCGAACTGCTTGCCGAGCTTCCAGATCTCTCATACTCTGCTGCTGTTCCAGCCATGATGGCCAACGACACAGACATTCCCAAACATGAAGCCATGAACATCTTTCTCCGGCCGACAATATCATGAAGACGAGCTGTACAAAAGACGCATAAGCAAATGAACACATCCTACGCTGTACAATTTAACTTACCTCCGATGGTTGCAGCAACCCATCCCGTCACTGCGTAGATGGCATTCAGCAACAGTGCCATGTTTGTCGACTTGATTCCCACGTTCTTGATCATCATGGGCAGGTAATAACTCGCCACGTTGTTCCCGGAAAACTGCCCAAACCATGCCATGGAGATCACAAGCATTACTCGATACAGCCGAGCACGGGACTTGAACAAGGTACGCACATCAAAGCAGGCCCATGCTGAGCGCCCTCTTGTTTCAACCAGCGACTGTTCGATCTCGTGCATCTCAATACCGACGATAGGGTGCGTGGCGTCTCCGTTTGCATGGTATTTAACGATGAAATCACGGGCTTCATCAATCCGTCCTTGAGCGACAAGCCAGCGAGGGCTCTCAGGAAGAAACCAGCCTCCGACGCAGACGATGCCGGGGCACAGTAATTGAAGCCACAGTGGGAGCCGCCACTTCGCGTTCCCATGCAGGTGAAGATTGGCGCCGTACATGGCTATGGCAATATTTAGCGAAGTAGAATGACTTTTTCGAAGAGTGTCTGCTTACCAAATGTGGCGATAATGCTTCCCATGTAGTATAGAGTATTATAAACCCCCGCAACGGTTGCACGGTGTAGCGGCGGAGCGATCTCAACTAGGAGTACCGGGGCAGCCAGACAAGTGATGGTTGAGAAGAAACTGATGAGGAATCGAGCGCCGATGAAAGAAGGCAACGTGGGTGCCAAGGCAGTAAAGACGGCAGAGCAGACGACACCGAATGCGCTGACCAGGAGTGTCCGCTTACGCCCTCTCCAGTCGCAGAGCCAAGTAAACAGAGCTCCTGCGATTTGACCGATGTTCCAGATAGAAAATACGAGGCCTGTGGTCGAAGTCCCGCCTTCTTCCAGTCCGTAGTACTTCTGGTAATCGGGTATGACGTTAATAGAGCCCATCAGCGAGCCATCGTAGCCTATATACGAACATCAGCACATGATACTACTCAGCGCTCAAATACTGACCATTCATAGTAGAACACAGGTAAATCAGGAGACATGCCAAGTAAAGCTGCAAGTGGCCGCGGCCCCATGGGTTTGGTGGTCCATCCTCGCCAGAAAAAGCATTCACAATGGCCTCAGGCTGTTTCCAATTTCCTTGATCATCCTCTTCCTCATCCCGAGGGAGTGGTGCTTTCTTTGACTCGGCCATATTGACAATTTAGAAGGACATTAGGGGGTGACAGGTGAGAATTCGGATGATCGGTTCCAGGAATGTCGGAATGGCTCGCCCCTCCCTTCTATAAGCCGGGTGAAATACCGGGGATAAGAGACATCCCTCTCATAGTAGTGTTCGGTTGTTAGTGATAGCTTCTTATCATTCCCCGCCCTACAAGGGTGTCTATCAACCGGAAGTTAGAATGCGGGGTGATGATGCCAAGGCAACGTGACATGCCTAGCACGGGAATTTATGTTTGCGGATCGTCATTAGTATTGCTGTTTGCTATCACCGACTTCATTAGACTGTAGATACTAAAAAGTCCCCATGTAGACGCTAGAGAACCGATCGGACCTTGACTCCATGTTCCCTCATTCGATTGAAATTTGCGACTGATTGTAACTTGAGACAATGGAGACTAACTTGCTAACAAATACCAGATATATGTCTCTTATATTTACAATTGTTGTTATACTGGACCAGACCGATCCCTTGCCCTGCTTGCTTTCCCAACATTAGGAACTGGAACCATTTCTACCTCCTCTGGTGACTCTGACCCTGCTTGAACATGGTGCATCGGATTTTGATGATCCGTGAATATCAATCTTGCTTGTGTTGCCTTGGCTGTCCTTTCCAGTTGCTCAGACGTCTGCTCATCCCGCATAATATCTGGCACAAGATAGCCTCTAGACAAGACTGCCAGGTTGCTCGTTTTCCAGACAGGAACTCTTGCCCCATCTGGGGCCCTGGAAGTGAGTGACAAGAAGAAGAAAACGGCCATGGCCATTGCAAGAAACCCATGCAGAGCAATCCAAGGCCATTCAATGCGATATGTCGTTATACCTCTGGTGACCATCCCCTCCTGGCTCTGCCCCGTGTCATCACTATCCCGGAGCGCATTGCTCATGCTCATAGCAATGTTGGAAAAAGTAGCACTGAGATCTGTGCTCTCCCACAACGGCTTCGCTGGCCCAGGTCTGTGCTCATGGCCGATTTGCTGGTGCGACTGGTAGAAGCCCGTCGGCGCCTGCCATTCGTCAGGGACGTCAGAGCAATTCCCAAGGATACATGTAGAGAAAAGAGTCTGCGCAAAATAGCTGATGCCTTTCACAGCTTCGTCTGAGATGTTCCATGTTTTCTTGGACCCATCCCCATCACTCTGCAGTTGAAGGTCAGACCGCGACACTAGAGAATCATTCTTGTTGAACGCAATGCTTTCGATGACGTCGGCGGAGAGCCTCTCGTTAGCAAACTGGCGCTGGGGTAACCAGGACTCATAATTTCGTCTGACTTCTGTGAGGATCTTGCTTGACACCTCCTTCTTTGTGCTGTTCTGAACCGTGAAGTCGTATTCTTTGACACAGTAATACAAAGCGCACTCAGTAGCGTGGACCTTGAAATTAGGCCAGACAATATTCTCCGAGGCCGTCGTGTCGTTTGATACCTTTATCATGCTTTGCGACCAGATCAAGGTGTCAAGCTCCTCCATGGATATTGTCTTGGTCCGGTTCGCAGTTCCCCAGGTAGTCATATACACCATCCTATCTCCAGTTCCGTGCCTGTTATCGATGTTGTCCAAATATAGTCCATTTGGCAAGGAGTAACGGGTGCAATTCACCCCGCGTTCAATTCCATCGATGCCATTTGTTAATTCGTACCACAGCATTCCGTCTCCATCATCCGTTTGCTCCAGAGATGAGTCGATATCATTGCATCTGCTACACACGGCTAAGGAGGCTACGCTGGAAAATTCGCATAACTCTCCAGGACAGGAAAGGGTGGCTTGCTGCACAATACTCTGTGAACTAGCGGTGGTTCCAAACATGACGGCGGCTTTCATTGTGAAATCGGCGTCAGCGTTGGCGGGAGTAGCCGTGTCAATTCGACCCGCGGGATTCACTAATTTCATTCATTAAACATTACCATACGCTATTAAAGAAAGAGGCCAGTTGAATACCTGTATATTCGAATAATCCTGACATTTGTGTACCAAGAGAGTATCGTACAGCTTGGGAGATGCGTCCTCCTGGCTCTGAAACCTGCAAATTTTGTAACTGGACTAGCTGTTGCGCAAAGGGATCCATGGCAATGGTGAGAATGGTAATCACTGCACCCAGTCGAACCAGAACCCTATAAACTCGTATTAGCTGATGGCTCACCTCAAAACACGGCCCAGACAAGCCTTAGCTTACCCTCCTCGGAACTTTCTACTCAACAAGAGCTGGATGCTGCCCAAAGGCCCTCTGCTCGCGTCTGAGACCAACTCAAAATCGTACAGCCGCCGAGGCTGGCCTGCGAAAAGTACCCAGTTTGCTTGACCGATACATCCGGCAGCCGCAGACAGCAATGCCGCTTTTGATCCCGTCGATAAAATGGATACGATGGTGTTGGGGGTAATGATGGACGAAGTGTTGGGCTCTTTCCCGTCGAAATGCACCAACACGCCGAACATGGCGAAGAACTGTGCGGCGGCGAGGACCAGGCCGATGATTTCAAATGCCCATGGAGAAGATCCCCATAGGCAACCTTTTTTGCTGCCACTGGGCTCCTCCGATCCATCTTTGTGTAACTTCAAGCCTCTCATTACGTTCTTGGCAATCCCTATGGAGGTAAAAGACCACCCAGTTGATGTTCCGTTCGTTCCCTGCTGGTGTGTTGTATTGAAAAATTCCTTGATGAATGAATGCGCAAGACGAGATAAGCAGGAAACAAAGAAGCGACTTTCGGCCATCAGCCTTTGAAAGGTTTTGTGCCACTGGAGCAGCGTAGTCGCACCAGGTTCAGCTTAGAAGAGTGGCATCATCAGGAGGAACAGTACAATACATATATGTATAGAAACTATGCCGACCCCAACGTCCAGTGATCCTTTTTTCATGCAGTGGACACGCCAAGAGAAGCTGTATCATAAATAGAGGATGAAACGCCTATATGCAGCTTTCTCGACGCCCACAGTCCAATCAACCGCTATATCAAATGCCACCAGAGAAGCATATGCGACCCACGAGAATCCCATATGGGGCCCTGCTTGAGTTGGATTCAGCCTAAAGCTCATTTCAGGGTTGCTGCTCAGCCCAGCTAATAGTTGCTTGCAGCAGGTGGGACAATATCTTACAGAATACTACCGTAATTATTCCTCTAATACCTCCCTGCGTTGCATCCTCTATTCCTATTTATTATTTTGCCCCAGCTTTAACAAGCTCGCCAAATCGTGTCCCTTCGACTGCGGCAAGCTCCATGGGATTGCCCACCTCCACGATTTCCCCAGTGTCCATGACAATGACCCTATCAAAATCCATAATCATGTCCAGCCGGTGGCTCACTGCGACCACGGTGTAGTCCTTGAACTCGGTCCGGATGATCTTCTGCATGACCCGCTCAGTCTCATGATCGACGCTCGAGCTCACCTCATCCAGCAGCAGGATCCCGCCTTCTGAACCGCCGCCACCCAGCCCCAGATTCCTCGCCCGCACACGCCTCCGAAGGAGCGCGCGTCCCAAAGACATCAGCTGCCGCTGGCCGGCACTGAGGCTTCCCGGACTCAGACCCGCCTCCAACCCTCCCTTTTCTTGGACGAATCCCCATAGGCCAACGGCAACAAGGGCCTCCTGGCTGTCTTTGGCTGTTGCCATGTCCAGAGGGTCCAGATTCGCCTGGAAGGTTGACCCGTCAGGCAGAAAGACGGCTTCTTGTGGCACCGCGATGATACGCTGCCGAAGCGCCGACCGGTCGATCCGGTGTAGAGGAGTGCTGTCGATGGTGACGTTTTCGGAAGTGGAGGAAATAGGATCGAGAAGCTTGAGAATAAGGGCGACGAGACTGGATTTCCCACTACCCGTTCGGCCACAAATAGCTATCTTTTCCCCTGACTTGACGGTTAACTCGATATTTCGTAGGGCCAGGTTGAGTGCGCTCTCAGGTTGGTCTTCAGGGCTAAAAAGAGTCATGTTAGTATTGTAAATGAGATTCTTGAGTTTGGCGATCTTACTCGTAGCTTGCAGATACACCCTTGAACTCTATTACGCCCTGCTGTGGCCATTGCTCCGGAGGAATAATATCCTCGTCTTCCTTATCTTCAGGCTTCACAGTTTCGCTGAAGGTCTTTAGACGGGCAATCGCGCCAATCGAGGTTTCGAGCCTCGTGTAGAAGATGACAATCCCCGAAAGATTCTCACCAAATCCCATGAGGGTCACCAGAGACGCGCCGGTGAACCCGGAGCTGGAGTGAAGCTTTACGGCGAGGGCTGTCAGTATCACTGCCATTATCATAACCACGATGTCGAGGACGAGATTCAGCCACTGTTGGATCATCACCAGAAGATACGCGGGTCGTTGACTTGAGTTGATCAGTTGGGCGTTCTTCAGAACCTCATTTGGGATGAACCCTGCAAGCTTCTGTTAGCCGAGCCGACGAGAGTTTGTTTCGTCCCAAGTGGAGAAAACTAACCGAAAGCTCTTAGAGTGGTGATGCCCTTTACTGTGTCAAGGAAATGTGTGCTAAAGAAAGTCCGCATTAGCATTGTAGGAGATATCATATCATAGTATAGGTTACTTACTACAAGGGACTCTTGGCCTCAAGATCCAATAATCTCAACTGTCGAGACGTTCGAAGGTAGAATCTTTGCACGATGTACAACAAGATACAAAGGAACGGATAACTTATAGCCATGTAAGGAGACGTGGTCAACATAACGGCCGCTTGGCCAAGCGCTTGGAAAACCTGTAAAAGAATATCGAATAAGCTCATGCTTGCAAGTGTAACGCCGGATTGAACCACTAAGTGGAATTTCTGTAGATTCTTACACTGTAGATGGTGTTCAACAGTCCATTTGGAAGTTCAATATCAATCAGATTCATATCTTGTGAGAACAGATTTGTCACAACTCCCGTGTCGGTAGTAGTGAAGAACCGCAGAGGTGCGCTCACGAGGGTTTTCAGAGCCCCCCAGTGAAGACTGACACCCGCCTTGGTCACAGATGTGATGATGATGGCCCAGCCTAGTAATAGAAGTGACAAGATAGCACAGAACTGCAGAAAGCCGTACATTCCGGCGTAGTATGCGTAGGTCCGGGATGGATTCGCGGAATTAAGGTCATCGGTCCAAAATGTAAGCCCTGTTAACCCAAAGTAGTAAGTAAATGTTTTCCCATAAGTTCAAAGTGTTGGCTGATTTGGGGATTCATACAGATTGTTGGGAAATTAGTAAAAAAGCCCCAGCACACGCCCATAACAACGCAAAAGATGGCCACAAACCACCCCATACTCTTGAAATAATGCTTGTAGACTGTCTTATCACCCACTCGTCGTGACTCATCGATATCTGGCTCGACGGATGATGCAGTGGTTGCGATTGTACGGAGACGCGGCATCTTTGGACTCGCGGCGTCAGTTGACGACTCCACGGATGAAGCATCACTGTCGGAGGAGCTGTTCAATCCTAGACTTTGGATGTATCCTTGATGGGCCATCAGTTTCGAGAAGCTACCCTGCTCAGCGATGGTACCGTTTCCCAACGCAATGATGTAATCTGCCAGGGGTAGATGCCTGATGCTGTGAGTGCACAGTATCACAGTAGAGCCGCGACGTCTAAGAAGCCCGCCAGGGCCAAAAACTTGTCGGAATACCTGTTCTTCAGTGTCTGCATCCAAACCACTAAAAATGTCATCAAGAACTAGAAGGTCGGATTGCAGGTATAAGGCGCGAGCCAGAGAAACACGCTGCTTCTGGCCGCCGGACAGCGTGATACCATCAGAGCCAACATTCGTCTTGTCCCCTTGAGGTAAGGTCCCAAAGTCATAGGTGAGAGATGTAGCCGCGATTATTTCCCTGTACCTTTCTTCATCAAAGGGAGAAAATCCTATGATGTTATCCCGGATCGTTCCATTTGAAAGGAAGGCTGTTTGGTCGCAGAATCCAACGTGCGGGAACCTTGTGCTTAAAACCACATCACCTTGGCGAAACGGGATCTCTCCAAGGAGGGCCTTGCACAGTGATGATTTTCCCGAACCGACCGGGCCAACAACAATGGTGAGGGAGGATCTGGGGATCTCGGTGTTGATGTCTGTCAACACGAACTTGTCGGCTTCCCATCCAAAACTTCCGTTTTTGATAGTAATCGGGGCTGCAGAATCTGGCACTGTATTTGGGATCACTGTAGCTTGCGACTTTTCCTTCTCTGACTCTCGATTCATATCAGATAAGACTTGGCGAAAATCATCGCGTGTTTCGCACGCAAGAAACTCCTGGATTCGACCCAAACAGGCCAGCCCAGAAAGAAGTTGGGGAATGGCCTGGAACACTTGGGAAAGAGGATTTGTCAAAAGCAAGAGATAAGAAAGACTCGTAAACATCTTCGCATTGTCCAGTGTTCGCTGAGCAAACGCAAATGTGAGCGGCGGCCCGGCCAAGAGTGGGATGTACCCAAAGAGGGCAGCCAGGATCGTGAGTTTTCTGAACATCGATGCTGTTTCTAGCTCGTCCACGCGGAGCTGCTGCACGAAATCTCGGACAGCGATGGAGAGACCGGAGATCTTGAGGTTCTTCATGCCGGCGATGACTGTGGCCGTCAGGCCCACCCGCTTCTGGACGCCAGCCATCCATAGTCTTTGAGAAGTCCCGGTGTACTTGAGAAGTATTCCAAGACACAGGGTGCAGAGCAGCACAGTGACCATTGGGGCAACAAATGCCGTGCCAAGCTGCGCGTGTAGCAACCAGGCGGCCACTCCTGCCTGGATAACACTGGCCCAGATATCGTGGAAAAGCTTGAAACCCATGTTGATTCGCTCAATGTCGGTGCTCATCAATGTCAGTGCAGCGGTATCGCTGCCTACTCCAATTTGGGCCTTTGTCGCCTTGATGAAGATCTCGGTGATCAGGATGGAGCTGGCCATAGTACGCATTCTATGATGAAAGTACCTAGACAGGAAGAATGATCAGCGAAAGTCGAAGTTCCGTGAAGGGGTGGTGTCCTACCAGTAGAGCGCGGTGGAGATGGCAATTCCTGCATAAATCAACAAACTGGCGCCAATGAATCCATATCCAACATTTACGTCGATTTCCGACTTGGAGAGATGTTCCAAGAGTTTCTCGATGAAGAGCGGCTGGCAAAATGTGAAAGCAAGAAGAGCAAGACGCGGGGGAACAGGCAGAAGCAACGGAACTGTCAGTGTTCGTACCAGCACCTTGACAAGACCAAACTTGTCTGACTTCAGCTTCGCGTAGTCGACATGCTTGGAAAATTCACTGTGAAGTCGGTGGCTGTGCAAGGTGCTGTCGAGCGGATAAAGGTCCTTCAGGCGGAGAATCTTGGTGTAGCCATCAAAGAAGATGCGGTTGAGCCAAAAGAAGACACCGATGGAGAAAATACTGCTTGTTTCCTCAGGACTGTGCTCCTTCTCGTCCCAGCTGACCCACCTAGACTTCCTCTGAGCTTCCAAAATCAGGATTATCAGCTTAAAGGCAATTGCGGTACTGAAAATGCTGCTGTATGTAAGTTCGGGTTTAGCCTCCGATGAGAGAAAGAGCGTTCTCGCTTGGGCCGCATCCAGGATGAGGGTGAAAAAGAGGTAGCTGCTGAGGAGCACTGAAGGTCTCGGGCTCTTCCTATGATCCACGAAACTCAGTGATACCATGAACAGGGCCGAAACAAGCTTCAAGACCGAGGCCGCCAAGAAGACCTTGGTGACGATGAATGAGCCGACAGCAACAAGAATAAGGAGGGACAGTTCGAGACCGGCGTATGCAGTGATCGTCGCCTAGACATAGGAATCAGTATTTCGTGACTTTTCTAGGCTGCAAACTTGTAGCCGCCACAGGCCTTCCACGCACGAGTTTGATGAGTTGAAATATGGGAGCATCCACGACATTGGGCTTCCTTGCTTGGGACAGTGTTCGCCATAGAGAGGTTACAATGAACAGCGTGGATGGGATTATGGCAAAGAATATTTGCTCAAACTGAATGTTGAAGTCAAAATCATCTTGGTTGAGCTGGAGGAAGTTTTCTTCCCCAGACGAAAAAGGCATTGTGTGTTCGATGTACGGCAAGTCCCAGAACCTTTCCCTGCCTCCAGGTGGTACGAAACACGCGCAATGACCTTCACAAGTTAAGGTGACACTAGATTATGTTTGAGTTGCGTGAACTGGTGGTGCTCGCTTAGCCCAGGGATCTCCTGGGGGCCAGGGAACTTATTATGGGCTCTGCTTACACCAGACGGTCTAACCAGACCGGGAGCAGTACCCTCAGCCTTCAATCCCTCTGTCCTCAAGAGTCAAGGACCTTTTGTTACGGCCAATTGGGGAACACCAGTTATCTCATCTCCACTTTGCCGGCCATGATGGTCCGATCGCCTTGGCAACAAGCAACACGCAAAATGATTAACCAAACGTTATGATCTCGTAAGAATTGCTGTTTGGATTTTCCGTTACGTGGCTATCCGGGGCGATCTTCTCTCAGGTTTCCCTGCTTTTTGTCCCGATCGTCTGGTCCAACAAGTCCATTCGGGCAGCAAGCCCCAACCAATGAACTGAGCGTTGTATTCTACCAATTTAGGCAGGTGCTTTCGTATCTGATGAGCAATCTTGACTCGTATGATCTGTCTTATCACCAATGAGAGCTGACCAAGCGCGTGTTGAGATCGTCACCCATGCAATCGCGTGACTCACGGGTCCGATTGTGCTGGTAAGAATCCACAGCACAGTTTGTCAAAATAGTTCATCAGATGGTTCTCAAGTATTGAGATTATTATATGTTCTTCTGGAATTGCGATGTGATGGTTCTCAGAATCATTTCTTGGAATGCGGCGTAACTCATTCAACCCGACAGTCACGGTGATTGATTGGCGTCACTGGTCACTTTTGCAGAGTAGTTTTGCATCGTATTCAGTCGTGGATGAGATTCCCATAGTAGAAATAAACTCGCAGATTTCTGAATCACAATGAGAGAGCAAACTTTCGAACAGGTAGCCTGGGAAGCCTCGCTTAGCGACAAATGTCATTGGCCAGTCAGCATACGGTAACTGTTGCAGTGCCCTCCGCAGCATCCCGAGCAACCAGTAACCGGAACGGTTGTCCTGTTATTGCTTGGTAGTACTTTTTCCCTCACTATTGTTCCGTGTGCAGTGAATCACATAGATCTGGTGAAACCAAAGTTACCTTCCCTCCTCGTCTGGACACCAAAACCCCCCCTCTGAGATTTATCGTAGAACTCATCTCTTCTTCCTGCAACCACTTTCATCCAAACTCCTCCTCATATCACCTCACGAAACCCTTCGATTTCATCACACACTCCTTACTTACTCTGCAGCATCTCTGCACATATACCACTCAGCCTTTCCAACAAACTACATTACTCACCCTTCACTATGTCTCCCAAGTCCTCCAGTCAGAGACGCATGCAGAGATCTGCAAGACAGAAACTCGAAGCTGTTCGAACTGGTGCCGGTTGCGACTTGATCGCGGTCTGCAACAAGCTCCCGTTCACTCTTCACAAGGATGTCGTTTGCAAGCAGTCGCATCTTATCAATGACAACATCATCCAGGGATACAAGGTATGTCAATAGCCCCATCCATAACCACCCCTGCCTTCTTTTGGGGACATTTTAACATGAATCGCTCCTATCCAGAGGCTCCCCATCAGCGTCTTCAAATTCAGAGGCGATCAGCCCGCTGTCGTTCAATCCATGATCGAGTTCCTTTACACCAAGAACTACACCCTTGGTCCCGACCAAAAACCTCTGACCACGAGAGACTTCGCCGACAAGCCTCTGCCCGCGCTCGAAACCGACCATGCAACCACCCTCGAGGGTACCGAGAAGAAGTGCTTCGACAACCTCCTCCATCACATCCTCGTTAACTCTGCGGCCATGAAATACAAAATCCCTGAACTCGAGAAGCTGAGCCGCGAAAAGCTTTCGAAGTCTCTCAAGCACAACTGCCCCGTCGCTGTGCTGCCTGACCTCATGGCTGCGGCACTCAAGGAGAATCACGACTCCGCCCTCATTCACGTCTTCGCCATGCGAGCTGCTGCATGCATGCCCAAGCTCATGTCAACTCCCAGATTCGTGGTTCGAGAGTGGCCTGGCTACTTCATCTCGCTGATCTTCTGCGCCATGACTCCGCCAGAAGAGCTCGAGGCTAATCCTACGCCTCCATCTACCTCACCTTCAGACACGGGAAGCGACGATGTGGATGAGTTTGTGACTCCCCCAGAAACTCGCAAGGGTTCTCACAATTTCGAAAAGCCATGCCGGGCACAGTGAGCTGACCAATGAGATTGGCCGAGAAAGTTCATCAAATGTTATCGACCCTTGAGTTTTTGCACGGATGAAGAGAAGAGTGGACGGAGAAATTGGTTTTGTGTTCTCCAAGAAAACATTGAGGTTGGCGTTGGAGACTGGACACCAGGTGTCTAAGAGGAGACATGTTACAGGTAATTTCATGTACGAAGTCGAAAAGTACCAGAGAGAGGGTTTATAAGATTGTCTATTTGCGTTTTTTTTCTTCACTCATGAGCTGAAACAGTCAGACTGGTTTGTTTTTCTTATTGTTGCTACCGTTCCCTCTAGATTTGTGGAAAATCGAAGGAACATCAAGGCCTTGATTTCGTGTTGTTCTCTACAACTACGCCTATTTTAGTAATACAGACCGCTGCCGTCAAAAATTAAACATAATCCACTCCCATTCAGCGATTACAACACAGCGTGCGGCACCATTTCATTCCCCTTAAGTTCATGAACAGATTGAGACTACGGACTGCAGAGTTGCTGTACTAACAACAATGGGAGAGATGTTTTGTTTGGTTCCAAACTACCTACCTCACCGTGTTAGGTCAGATTTTGGATTTCTCTCTCGGTCCTTTCTTGAAAACAGACGCGTGATGATCCCCGCCCATCTCAATGGTTCTCGAAACGGCCACTTGGGCACCCAAATTCGATACTGTGAAGTCTCAATTTACGTGTTAATCAATTTGGACGATTAACGACAGTTGGGAATCCCAATCGTAACGCTGCCTCATCTGTTTGGCAACATTTAGGAGAGGGGTCAGAGGTCAAGCGCAAGCCACTTCGGCCCATAACAAAGAGCTTTCACTTGGATTCCTAACAAATCTTCTCAAGATTTTGAAAACTATCGATAGAGCCGCATACAAGCATGGGAGTGACTGAAAACCCTCCTACTCAAATTCAAGAGCTCTTGTTGAAGATATCCCACACACACCCGAGAGCCGTCACACAAGAGCCAGCCTTGAGCCATGTTAGTATACCGCAATCTTGCAAAGGACAAGCTTGATATTGACATACCTTGTTCAAGAAAAATCCTGGTGCGCATTGGCATCCGATAACGCACTGCAATGTGCAGATAGTGGGTGGCGGCTGAAAGCACCTGGCAGGGCATGCTGTTCCGCACTCAACAAAAACTTGGTTTTTCTTCTGGCATATCCCTCCGTTTAGCATCATGCGGACCAGCCTTGAAAGACGCTCTTTGAAAAAAGGATGTTTAAACTCACCGGACACTTCTGAGGAGGGATAAAGGGATCTACTGGAGTCTCCCCCCCATCAGGGCCTGCTGGGAGAACAGCAGGGGTCGGGAGAGTAAGTGGACGGGGAGGGGTGCTTTTGGTTGAGGTGACTGAAGAGGCAGCCTCAGGAACAGGGCTGGCTAGAAGTCCAGATGTAAATAAAAGAATAACTGACAGTGAAGCCTTCATATTGATGAACGGGGAAGTGAGTTTGAGGCGTTGGTGGGCTCCGTTGGGATTTGTATTGATGAAGTTTGATGTTGCTCTGGTCTTTGGGATTTCAGATGATTCGCAAATTGGCCAAAGACCTTCTCTATATATATTTTTGACGATCCCAGTCATGGTGCCTCCCTTAAAGTTGCAAGACATAACCCTTGCCGCTCGTTATGCCTTGAGGTTTCTGCTTAGGCAAAGTGTGGGAATGTGGCTGCGACATGGTTGACTTTTCCGGCAGATTTTGGCCCCGTGGTCTGCGGCTGTGGTCGAAACATTTGTCTTGCATATAACACATTGTACTCAATTTGGGAAGGTCTCAATGATCAGCTTACTGCTGGTATGAACCACGACTTGGGAGGAATGCGACCAACCGGTGGAGAGACGCCCCGTTACATGCTAGTTAATGTAGGTAGTACCAATAACGGCTGACAGCCTTGTCACCGTAGTAGCTCTTGAACCCCATCTCGTGATGTCTCAGAGCTATATCTTCAAACAAATCAGTTTAGAATATTATCTTGCGTGCACAAAATTTCTTATTCGTGTTGACCGTTGTGTTTCATAGTCATAAAACTAAAGCCATGGGCTCCACATTGAGCCTTACCCATAAACAAACATGAGCATTATCGAGGTATTCGAAATTTCACGATCAACCAAACTTTAATTAAAGCTTTGCTGGACGTAAGATGCTAAATTCCCGTACCCGTCTCTAGTGCTCGGCATGACTCTAGTGAATGCGAAGTCATGAACGATAAGCCCCATTGCCTCAATAACGGCCTTACCCGAGACAACCTTCCGCTTTGAAATTCCTGGAGAGGAGCATTCCAACCCAATTCTTGGCAAAGCTACAGCAGCTGGCAGTGCTCTATTGGGTTCTCTGGTTTGACCCTGATCTTACATGGCGTAGGCTCTTGAGGGTGTTTGTGCCGCCACGGGCAATCACCGCGAGGGACCTTCGGTGTCTCTCATGCCATTGAACTCTTTTAGAGAGAGCTGAAAGAACTACAGGGTTTCATTTGTCAGTTGAAACTATCTGAGTCAACCGGGGGCTTGCTCATTCCTATGACGATGGAGTTCCATCTTATTATTAGGTATCTTAGGCGGTACTTTACGAGCGACCATAGCCATCATGCCTTATTCTATGATGTAATAGATTGAGTTTCGATAATGATGGGAAATTACCGATGTCTGAAAAGACAATTTGATTCTTTCAGCATGAAAAGAGATAACCATGAATTCCTCATCCTCAAACTTGGCCGCTTATCTATTTGTGCTTTGCGGTGCCTGAAAATCCATGTGGGGCTCCAACTTGCCCTTGCCAGAAACTTGAATCTTTGGCTTTGCTCGCCCTCGTATGAGTCATGCGGGTCTCACCCCGGATACAATATTATTTTTGTGGCGAGCAAGATCTTACTCCTGTTGGCCAGGAAATTTCAAATGCGGCGGCCCGTCATGTGGCTAAGTAGTTAAGAGAGACAAAGCCAGGCTTCAGTTATATGAGTAGATATAAAATGTGAACATTAAGTGAATCCGGGCTAAGTATGGGGTATGAAATCGAATTGAGGAGTACAGAGTTTGGAGCAGCCTCTGGGCAACACCCACGGCTTCGTAGAAGAAAGTGAGGCATTCCGGTGATCATCCTCCAGGGTAGGCAAGGAGACCCAAGCCTCACCAATATGCAGTCACGGGCGTCTTTTGTTTCCTTCAGGGGTAAGTAATCAGGATTTATTCTTGGTCTTCCTAGGGAGTGTTGGCTCCGTTGTTAGTATTGGAGGAATAAGAGGCGCAAAAATCCTACGAAAGGGGTTCCCCGTGGATGATACCCCTGAAAAACAAGTCGATGGTTAGGCCGGGAAGGCACACGATCATGCTTTGAAGTAGGTCTCGTCTGACTACGTGTAAACCACGCCAATCTCAGCCGCCCTTGGTATGTTGAAGAGCGATTAACCTTAATAATGGGCACTTTTAAGAAAGAGAATAGAGGAATGAGAACCGTGTATGCAGATACAGCCTAGTCACTGCGCTGAGGCTTAGATCCGGACCGGCAGCAGTTATGCTTCATTTAAGGCGAAGTCCAACTGTGGATCACGGGAGAAAGTTATGCTCTGGCATAAGCTTCTTCGGAGGGTCTGACTTCCGGCGGTCCAAATGCAACGGTGGGCCTAGAATCGCGGAACATTGAAGTCAAGCGAGGAAGGACGAAATTAAGTCATGCACGGTAGCCATATTGAAATATCCGAGTTATCTTTATAGTGTTTCTTTTTTGGTTTGATTCATATTTTGCCCAAATATTCCTTCAACGTAGGGACACGCGCTCTGAGGGTGCGCGTCATCTGGCCACTTTGAAGGGCGTTGGGTCATACTTCCATGCCCGCCATGTATCAACGACTGATCAGGTGGCCAAAATGCGAGTGTGAATACAAGGGTGGCTTTTATGCTCGTCTCATTTCGGCTTCCATCTCGGCTTCCTCCGAGAAACGTCTAACAGATCTCGCGAATTGCTGAGACAAGAGGCCGTGCTATTCCCTCCCGGAGGAGCTTTGTTAATAGAAAAAGGATGGAAGGAGTGGGCCCATTGCTCATAAAACCAGATTTTGGACGGGGGATCTGCATAACTCTTGGGCCGGAAGCTGATGCTGCCGAAGGGCGTTGCATAACCAACCAGGTTCGGGGCCCACTTTATGAACAGCTCCAAAGGCCGACTACGGCAAGCAACGGTTTTCGGGCAGCTCGACGGGTCCGATGGCCCGATTCAACGAATAATGTGCTGTTGGCGGCACACAAATCTTACATTAGCGCACGCGGAGAAAAGCTATTGGTGGGCGAGCAAGTGTGTTGGTTGGCTCGTTCTCGGTCTCGGTTCCGTAACTTGGGGTAATAATGGGTGGGGCGGCGCGCAGAAGGACTCAGCTCTGCACGTTACACTCGTCTGTTTTTAATAAATAGACTTGCCTGGCTTTTCCTTTTCCTCTTCTGCTTCGAGGCTCTGTCTTCGGAAGTGTTAATCCCTGTGGCGGCTTGAGGTAGCACTGAATCGACCAAACACCATGGCTGCAGAAAAATCCCCGAGGGCCATCAAGCTAGATGATATTGAGAGGCCCGAGAGTCAGAGAACACTTACCCCTTCGTACAAACCGAGCGAAACAGCCATGAAGAATACGGACGAAGAAGCTGCAGTCAGCACAACCGACAACGACAAGGAAGGCGAATCTTCCAACGTTACGGCGGGTGATCCAAACGCCATCAACTGGGACGGCCCTGACGACCCAGAGAACCCTTTGAACTGGGCCCCTCGAAAGAAATGGACCTGCATCGGTGCTTTGTCCGTCATGACGCTATTAACGTAGGTTCACATGACCCGTCGCATACAAGTATCACGCTAACATATCGCCCAGGCCTCTTGTGTGTACCATGTGTAGTCACCGTTCCGCCGTTATCTAACCACTTTATAGGGTTCTTCGATGTTTGCCCCCGGTGTACCCGATATCATGAAGGAGTTTAAAGAATTCAACTCGAGCATCGCAACGTTTGTTGTATCGGTATATGTTCTCGGTTTCGCCTTTGGTCCCCTCCTCGCAGCCCCTCTTAGCGAAATCTACGGCCGAGCCATTGTTTTCAATGTCGCCAATATTCTCTTCATCATTATGACAGTAGCAACTGCGCTTAGTACGAACATGCCGATGCTGATCGTATTCCGATTCATGATGGGGTTTACCGGATCTACCCCCGTCACCAACGGAAGCGGGACGATATCCGACATGTTTCCTGTCGAGGAGCGTGGTAAGGCCATGGCTGTGTGGGCTATGGGTCCGTTGCTGGGACCTTGCATTGGGCCGCTGGCGGGAGGTTACATGATCGAGGCTCTGGGATGGCGATGGGTCTTTTGGGTCATTGCAATCTTTGTAAGCTTGCCCTCCTGGTATACACAACTTGGTCAAGCTTGTGGCCGACACTGACACTTTCTAACTCAATAATAGGCCGGAGCCATCACAGTTCTTTGCTACTTCGCCGCTCCGGAGACTTACCACCCGACTTTACTCCGAAATAGAGTCAAGAAGCTAAAGAAGGAGACTGGCAATGACAGCCTCTATTCCGCGCTGGATCAAGATGGCCTCACAAAGCAGAAACGACTCGAGCACGCCATCGTCCGACCTATGAAGATGTTATTCACTCAACTGCCCGTCTTTACTCTGTCTCTCTACGTCGCCGTAGTTTACGGAGTCTTATATCTCATGTTCAGCACATTCACGTTCGTCTTTGCTCAGCAGTACGGCTTCGGCACAGGCACCATCGGCCTTGCATACATCCCAACCGGTGTCGGCATGCTTCTCGGGACCATCACTTTTGGCATTATCACAGATATCATCATCAAGAAAAAGATTGCCCAAAATGGACAAGCTGTGCCTGAGGACCGTATGCCAATATGGCTCACCGCCCCATGTGGATTGCTGATCGTGGTATCTCTTTTCTGGTACGGATGGTCGGCTGAGAGGAACGCCCATTGGATCGTACCGATGATTGGCGTTGCGCTGTTCTGCTTTGGTCTCATGGGCATCATGGTAAGCTCCATCTTCAAACCCAAGTAGTGATATCTACTAACAAGACGCAGATGTGTCTTCAAACATATCTCATTGACGCCTACATCTCATACGCGGCCTCCGTCGTTGCAGCTGTTACAGTTCTTCGATCCCTGGCTGGTGCTATGCTACCCCTTGCTGGCTTGTCCATGTATGATAGCCTTGGGCTAGGTTGGGGTAACAGCATCTTGGCCTTCCTTTCGCTGGTCTTAGTGCCAGTCCCTATAGTCTTCCAAATCTTCGGAGCTAGGATCCGCGCGAAATGCCCCGATAACCTTTGATAAAGGAGAGGTGGAAATGCATAGAGCGATAGTAGCACGGGAATAGAAACAGCTACTCTTTATTAATAGATATTCATAGACATACAATCATTTTTTTTCATCATCAGTTAGTATAGAC